ATGAAAAGACGGTGGCGTCCCTAATAAAGAAAGAAACAATAGTCAAAGAAAAAAGGAAATAATATGAATTAAGATATTAGTTTAGTTCTTATTTATTCAAAGGTTTATTAAGTGATTGGAGACTGAAAATAATCAAAATTACAAAATGTCTGAACAAATAAGACATAATTAATAATTAAGAGATGAAAATTAAAAAACAAAGTAGGAGGCCTAATTAATAATGATAGTAGGTTATTTTATATATATTTTTATATTCTATTAGAAGAAAGACAAAAAGAGATGATGAATAGATGGACGCACCCCATGCGTTGCGTTGGGTTGATTTATATGAAAACATTTGAAATATCTAATCCAATGTTTGATGTTAGAAAAATCTTAACGTAATCCAATTCAAACCAAAGTGTAACTAATCCAAACCGTATGAATTGGTCGTATTGAAATTTTACATCAAAATATTTTCCTTAAATCTAAAGTATACCACATTCAATTATTTATCTTAATTTGTATATATATGTTCACATTTATTGAACATATATATGAAAGAGTTATATAAAAATATATAAAGAAGGTACGTGGTGGTGTAATTGTCTAATATACACATTAATAGAAATTTAATAATCATACTATATCCAAGAAAATAAAAGGATTTCATGTTCATCGGGTTTGGTTGAGTTCAAATGACTATAACTCTATTCCAACTTAATACCTATGGTTTGATTAGATATCAAGTTAGGGGCGTTTACAAAAAACTTACCCAATAAGTGCTTATCGGTAAAAATTCAACACTATTACTTACTTATCGGGTAAGATTTTAGTCTACCAAAACGGTATCATATGTAATAATTTACCCGATAAGCTCTTACCGTGGTAAGAGTAACCACCTTCACTTATCGGGTAAGACTCTTGTTCCTTGTTTCGTTCTTACCGGGTAAGACTTTTGGTCATTGTCATACTCACCCGGTAAGGTAATATGACTTGGTAAATGTTTACCCGGATAAGCGTTTGGTAAACGGCTCCTTACTTGAGGTTGGATTATTTCGTATTAGGTGGGAAGGAGTTAGAACATATGTTTTTACATGCCCACATATATCAAGAGTAAAATATAGGTATTTAAAGGACCTTCCTCAAAGAAAGCACAAAACACAAAGAAGACGCAGGAATGCATTTTACAAAAATAAAACTAACAGTAGGAGGCAGGGACCACGAAATATGAAGTCTCTCCATCATGAGGTGGGTCACGTGCATCATGACAAATTGAGGTCTTGGTTCATATGATGCTAAACAGGCAGAGAAAAAAGCATGAGCATGATACATGCAAATCAGTAATCACATGTCCTTCATCTTCTTTTTTCAACTAAATCATTTTCGATAATATATATTATTTATTTAATAGTATATATCAGTCTAATGATGCATGATTATTGATTATGCCATTTATTTATTATATTTTGTTTATGATTAATTTCCAATTAAAAAAAGTGAAGAGAAGACTTACATGAGAAGCGAGGAAGTAAGCTGTGAAACTGAGGCCAAAACGCCACCAAATTGACCCAAATACGTAACCAGTAACCTGCCGTGAACGTTGCATTAAACAGTAACAGTGATACACTTTTGGGATGAACTGGACCATGAATACCACCTGCACTACCACCATTACCATCCGTATCTTTTCTTCTCTCACTAACCTTGCTGCCACCCATAAATACACCACCTGCCAATAAATCAAGTTATCTCATATCCATTGTATTTGTATGTATATTTATATATCAGTCAATGAATGATTGATGAGTGGGAATTGGAATTCACCTGGGGGATTGGTAATATAACGAATGCATCTAACCAAAATCCCTTGAGGGATCCAAGATAATGAAAGGCGATATCACGTGCATCCCACACGAGCCTCCCACACCCAACCACCAAAGATTCCTTGGACACGTAAGCTAAACGGAATTGAAGCAAGATGTGGCACAACAGCATCGCGTCGACGCAAGTCCGTACAAAGCTCACCCACCTCGCTACCCTGCCGTCTATATATAAACATGCCCCACCACCGCCCTCCGCATCATCCATTAACGCCACTGCAAAAAAGAAAAACGGATCCACGGCCAATGCAGCGTAGCGTGCCAGAAGAACCACTCGACTCCATTGCAACACGCTCTCGCTACGCGGATCCAAAACGCGAGCTGGTGATGACCTCCGGTTTTGATCTGTAACCTGTCTGGACTTGGTCGGGGTTAAAGATGAACCGGCGAGAGCTTCCCATGCAGGTTGATGGCTCGGGTCGCAGCTTATGGAGTGGAAATGTGGAACTCCGAATTGACTACAAACGTAACATTGTTGCACCTCGTCGTTGTCGGAATTAATCTTCTCTCGCCGGAATCCAGCATTGATCCATCTAATTAAGTATACAGTTAACAACAAATAAAATTAAACAAGAGAATATGATAATTATACGTAAATCAGTTGGTTTAATCCACATGAATTAACTCAAGTCATCGGAAATTAGTAACCTGGAGATCATGGCGGAGACGGTGGTGCTTATCGGATTTTGTTACAGGTGGCGTGGCGAGCAGAGTAGTATGAGGTGAGGGTGGGTGTAGTCAGCATGGGGTTCAGTTATATATATGGTTTCGTGGAGTCAAACACGTTTAATCTGCACCAAATGAAGCAGAAATGGACCCCTACTATGCCAACTGCTATTTATTTCAACAAATAAACTTACTTTTAAAATGTGTTAACTCAATTGATAATAAGTTTTGTACATTTGGATATTCTCCTTAGAAGTTACCGATTTGAGTTTTATAAGACGACTGAGATTTTCCTAATTATTCTCCAAGACTAAAATTAGTCGAGACTCGCATAAACGGGTAATTTTTTTTTGCTACACTTGCTCTTCTAAATTATAGTAGAAATTTATGGATAATTAAAAACCAGATCATAAAATAAACCTATAAGCCTATTAGATCTAAATAATTTTAATGTTATGTCGGTTTGTGTACAAGTTGACGTAATACCATATTATGATTATTATCATATCAGATAGTTGTATTTGTATATTTCTTGTCATAATTTTAAGATATTAAGAAAAATGTTACTTAATTTAAAGAGAAGATAATAACAAATGTAATTAATGATGAATAAGGACCATTCAACAACCAATAAATTATGTAAGCTATCAAATGGAACGTTAGTTAAGAAACGTCTTATAGCTAAGTTCCTCCAAATAAAACATAAATTATATACTTATACATACGATCAACAACATAAATTAGCGTCGGGAAAAATCCTTCGTTGATCAACGAGGGAATTGGCAAAAACCAGTTCCCTCGTTGATCCTTTGCTGATCAACGAGGGAAATGACCAAAAATCATGTTCTCTTGCTGATCCTTCACAGATTAAACCAACCCAATTACCGTTGATCCCTCCCTGTAGGGGTGTACACGAGTTGGATTGGACGATTTACGACATTTATACAGCCCAACCCAATTATGTTGGTTTGAAAAAAATCTCAAATCAACCCAATTCATTCAAAAGTATAACTTAACCCAACTCAACCATTGCGGATTGGGTTGGGGATTAGTAGTTATCATGGTTATAAATAACTCGTTATGGCATCAAGACTTGGTTTCGCCGCCATATTAACCTTTGTGGCTCACTCTTAAGGCTTAGTTTGCATTGTAATGTGTTATGGCGTGTTACGACATATTATCTTGTAAGGTGTGATTTTTTTAGTATATAACTTGAGAGAGAAATGACAATCATGTAAGAGACCTAAAACTTAAAATAAACATAAAAAGGAAACTTAAAAACCCTAATACGTAAATACTTGCTTTCATCCCATGTACGAAGAGAGTTGAACAAGAGTTCTTTAAAAAATGAAGAAAATAATGAGTAAGATTCAAGAGATATAATCTCGGTTTTACATCCTTCAAATCATGTTTTATAAGCTCTGTATATTTGGTATCAATAGTTTTCTTCTTTTTTAGTTTAATTACTTTATATGAATTATATTTGGTCTATAATATCATTCAAAACACTAACAAGTGACAAATAGGTATATATTACTCTCATTCGTGTATATGAAGAGTCGAACATGAATTCTTTAAAAATTGAAGAAAGTAATGAGTAGAGATTGAAGATATTTAATTCTTATTTTACACTTTTCATATCATTTTCTATAAGCTCTATATATTTTATATTAAATTATCAATGGTTGTTATTTTTTTACTTTTACTATTTTATATGAATTTAATTTGTTCTACAGTGTCATTCAAAACACTAACACATACAAATGTATGTATGTGTCTCTATATACGTGTCGCCTTACCATACCTTGAAAAACGTTGTGTCCTCGCCATAACCTGTAAGGCCTAATGCTTGAGGCTTGATCTCACCATTACGTCACCCTACACTATGTCTCGCATCATTTAGAACCTTGATAGTTATATAAATTTGAGAAATGAAATACTTTATAGAACTTAAGTTTATAGGATCAGACTGTATAGCACATTTATCAAATTTGTTGTATAAAATAACTAATACGATACTCTATTTAAAAAACGTCATAAAAACTTGTCGAATATATTTATAGGACACTTATGTTCACATGACACTTTTCAAATATTGTTGTAGATAAAATAACCAAGACAACACTTTATTTTTTTAAAACGTCAAATAAATTTGTTAAGATATCCAAAAATGTCAAATAAACATATTATAAGTTTGTAACACTTTTAGATATAACGTTTTTTTTTTTTTGCTTCGTCCTATAAACTTAATCTCTATAAAGTATTATATTAGGACCTTTAGATATTCTATAAATCTAATATTGTTGTAGTAAAATAAAAGAATCTTTAGGTTGTTAGATTTGTCAACCAAGTAATTATCAACATCATTCGATATTTCGGTATGAGTTAACGGTTTAACTCGGATTGAGTTGTTAATGGATCGAATCGAAGGGAGGACACGATTTAACAATTTCTTTTACACCCCTGAAAACCGAAAACCCCACCAATAACCTAAACGAAAACCAAGATGCTCTAAAAATATCTATCACTCCCAAAAGTCAGATATTTTCGGGAAAAGATTACTCTGTTTCCCGATACTCGGTCGCATCACCAGGTAAACAAGGGTTCGTCTCTCTTTATCCCCGCCGGCCGCCGCCACAACGGCTAGAGGAGGTGCAGAGAAGGCAAATTACCGTCATTCTATCCTTCTATATACAATTTGTAAGCCTGATTTTACGTTTATTTATTTGTAAAGATATCTGTAATCAGCCTTAATTATGATTACATCAACTTTTAGGTTTAATACGATTATTGTTCTAGTTTTATGTTGCATAAGATACTGACTGTTTAACATATATGGTTTTTTGTTGATTCATCTTAAGTGTATTTGTTTTTTGTTTGGCATGCTATTGTTGATATGAGTTGTTATTAATGGTTGCCATTAGTTATTGGTTGGTCCTTTCATGTGAAAATTGTGATCTTGTGAGTAATTTTTGTTAAGATATTAGAAGTAAATGAGATGCTGTCAACGTTTGAAAAGAAGAGAATTTTGATCATGGATGTCCAAGATAGTAGTTTTTGATGCAAATATGGTATGATTTTGTTGCATTTTGTGGCCAATTTGTTATATTCGGTATCTATAGAACTTGTTATGAACTTGATTGTTGTTTTAACATTGAATCAGTTTTGATTTTGAGAACTACCTTTCTTGACATCCTAGCTCCTTTGTTTTGTGTGTGGTTCGTACAAAGGGACTATTCGCTAATTGTTCTTTATTGGGGCAATGAAAATAAGTTCTTTCTGGGAACCTAATTATCTTGTCCATTCGGGATACGGATCCAATTAAAGGAGAGGGCTGAAAATTTCTATTTTCTTCTAAAGGTACATGACTGTTTAAAATTGATAAATGGGTTATAACAATCTGTCCCCATGTTACTTCCCCTAGGTTGCATTATGTTTTTGCCAGTAGGACGTCTGTATGTTGTTATGCTGTGTATTCAATATGAGATTTCAAAATGAGTTGCCTGAGGATTCTGTTTCCTGGTATTTGTAGTTGGAAATGGCAGTTGACATCTTTGCAATTTGTTTCTTTATACTATTTTTGAGGTTTATGCTGTCATTTATGTGGCAAGTTAGTAGATCGTACCTCATTATGCTGCAATTCTTAACACTGGTTTGATTATGTTGATTTATACATGCGATGGATTATGTAAACTAAGGGGTTGTTTACTAAACACTTACTTGGTAAATGCTTACCGGATAAATTTCCTTACCGGATGAACATGAGAAGGGCCAAGAATCTTACCGGGTAAGAGCAATGAAAAGGATAGAGAGTCTTACCAGGTAAGTAAGGATGACGACTCTTACCTAGGTAAGCACTTACCCAGTAACTTGTTGCATTCGATATGTTTTGATGTACTAAAATCTTATGTATAAAAATAAATTATAATGTTGAATCCTATCGGTAAGCACTTACCAGGTAAATATTTGGGTAAACGGCCCCTAAGTTGATGTTTGATGAAGCTTGTATATACATGTAAACATTTATAGTTCTTGTATGATACATTTGTTCTTAAAAGAGGACATGTTGTCTTAAATACAAATGTCTCCTGCAATGGTTGACCTTTGTATCTCCATGATTTGCAAACCAATGTTGTTTGTATTCATATGGCTGAAATAAATCACAATTTTCGTAAACACGTTATTAGGTAGCATTGCGAAGGCATGGAAGTGATCAATCTATTGTGAGAATGATGAGGATTGATGAACAGAATTGCTGGATTCAAATTGAAGTAATTTTTTCATGTTTCCTGGTTGGATCTTTTATGGAAACAGGAGAGTTGAGGACACATCTAACCCCAATTTCAGCATAATGAGTTTCATTCCCCCCAATTGATGAGAGGGTGATTCGTTACCCATTACTCTATAGTATGTCATTCCATTATACCCAACCAACCATGTATGATTATTGTCATTCCTAGTCCCTACCATCTAATAAACTAATACCTCCCACTAAGGGGCAGTTTGGTTGGTTTCCATTAAGTCCTGTCCGGACAAAGCTCTGTGTGGATTAATTTGTTTGTAGATTGGGAAGGTTTTTGTTTTGGATGGTTTTTTCATAGATGGAAGGAGCGTGTTTTTAATTGGGAGGCCAGGTTTGGAAAGAACTTGGCTTTCTGCATAAAGCTTCCCCTAGAAGCTTACTAATAAGCCACTTTCTATATGACTATATTATTAAGTCACTACCAAAAAAGTCATATATAGCTGATCGAATAAGTTGCGAGTCATATTAAGCCCATTAAGTTGTTAACAAACAGGCCCTATATACTCCTTAAGACTTGATGGGTTTCAACGCATGGTACTCGGTTCGAAAAGCAGTCAACTTCTAACAATATTTAACCTGGTACATGGTTTTGGCATCATTTCATTGGCATATACATTCTGCATATATAATATCAATTACTGGCGTTTGTGTGCAACTTAGGTTCCATTTTATTGAGCTTTACATCACTTTGAATTTTTCTTTGAGCAATAACCTTGTTTATCTCATAAAATATCTTATCAGTGACACTTTTTGCCCGTTGCATTAATCCTTTCCTTTTTATCATTGAAATGGAAGAAATATTCATTAGATTTTGACATTTTGTTATATTTCTCAAGTTTTGATTTTGTATGAACCTAACATATTTGTTTTTGTCTTCACGCAGGATCATTTCTTTTTGGCAATTGGAGTAGATATTTGGATATATGCACAGGATTAACAAGCCAAGTATAGTGCTCATCTGTAGGTAGCAACCAAATTTTTTGGGATCTATCTAAATGTGGAACTTTGCATCCAAATGTCTCGCTGGCACTGGCGGCCTAAGATTTAGGATTGGCTTCAGAAAACTAACACAAGGCGTTCAACAATTGTCAGACAATGAAGCTTCTTCCACCATTAGTAGAGAGGAGGGATTAGAGTGCCCAATATGCTACGAATCCTTTAACATTGTCGAAAATGTACCTTATGTTTTATGGTGTGGCCATTCACTCTGTAAAAACTGCGTCTTAGGTCTTCGCTGGGCAATTGTGAAGATCCCTCCTTTACCCATTCAGCTGCCTCTCCTAATATCTTGCCCCTGGTGCAACCTCTTATCTCCCCGTCTCGTATTACAAGGAAACTTGAGATTTCCTCGTAAGAACTACTTCCTTCTCTGGATGGTTGAAAGACTGAATGATGATAAGTTGAAGAAGTCTCGGGATGATCCTTGTAGTGATTCTCGGCCTTCTAAGTCGACTCAAATAAGCCATTCTAATGTCCAAAGATTTCAATCCTCAGGATCCACCACCGTTCATGATCGTGTTGTTGGGATACGCTGTTATGTACAGAAGTGCCTGCTTTTGTTTGTTGAATTAACAGCCAAGTTCCCATTGGTCCTAATCTCTCTCCTGATTGTGTTATATGTAATTCCTGCCAGTGCCACAATATTGGTCTTGTACGTGCTGCTCACGATTCTGTTCGTGCTCCCTTCATGTCTCGTTCTGTATTTTGCTTATCCTAGTTTAGATTGGCTGGTGAAGGAGATCATGGCTTAGGTTCAATTAACATCTTCCCTGTCAAGTCAACCATGAGACCATGGCATAGGTTCAGTTGGTGCCAACCTTGGGACCATGACTTAGGGCTCGATTAAACATCATTCCTTATGAATCATGAGATGATTGCTCCGGTTTCAGTTCGCATCTTACCATAAATCCAAGTCTGATGCATTTCAGAAAGTGGCTGGTTTTGGTTGGAAGTTTGGTGATTAGAGTCGACTTGAATAGCTCCATGGACTTGGGGTACTTCGTGTATATGTACTGTTTTGCCAATTCAGTAGTTTTAGGTGGTCATGGATATTGATGTATTGTGGTTAAAACAGTATTACAGAGTTATTGTAACGTATTCATTTATATGAGCCTGTAGATACGTACTGTCCTTATTGTTTACAAGATTGTTTTTTATTTGAAGCTTGAAATGTTATCTTATCAAAGAGACGCAAAGTTATATGGCTTCCTTTCTTTCGTGAGAAAAGGAAGGTGATTCTGATTGTTCGAGATGCCACAAGGAAAAAAAAAGCCTTGGTCTGTAGGTCACACGACTCGCTCCTTTTTGGCTTTTTGTGTGGGACGTTAACGTTTGAGCTTTTAGGCTGCGTTTGGTATATGGGACGGGAGAAAATAAGACAAAACTCGATGTCCCACGTTTGGCGCGATATATGACAGGACAAAAATTCACTGTCTCATGTTTGATGCGACATGAGATAAGCAATATGAGACAAAAAGGGTTTTTTATTACTCCACCAACATAGGTGAAACTAGATGAGATAACGATGGGAGGGAAACTAAAAAAATTACTAATTTACTCTTATTTGATACATCCCTAATATTGTATTTGTTTTTAAGGCCACCGTCCATTATTGTTATCACCACCAGCCACCACTGGCACCACATTGGTCACCTTCAATGCTACAACCTCATCCACATCCACATCACGTCATCACCCACCACCTCCTCTATCTTCAGCACGTTTGCCACAACTACCTTCATCATTGCTGGTTGCCATCACCACCACCACTGTCCATCATCTTTACATCTTCCACAATCGTTGTTCACCACCATCGCCTAGCACCACCTCTACCTCTACCACATGAGCCAACTACCACTTCCATCGTTGCCGACCGCCACCATCACCATTGTCCACCATCTTTACATCCTCTACGGTCATTGTCGTCTACCAGCACCATCGCTTCTACCCCACTATCATTGTCATTGCAACAACCTCCATTTCGCCTCTGTTAGTTCATAAAAATCTTCGAAACCAAATAAAACTTATTATATCAAATTCTTCATTCAAATTTGGTACTATTATTTATGTATTTATGCATATGAAAATTGTGTTAAAATGTTTATAAATTAAATTATTCAAATATTTACTTGATTTGTGTCATTTATAACTAACGGGAAGGGTTCAAATGGAAACACCATCATTTTACGAGAATGTAGGAATGCTCTTTTACTATAGGCAAATCAAATCACATGTGATACTATTATTTCATCACATATGATATACATGTGATATTAGATCAGCGACCCATACGACTTTTGGCGAGATTTATGTTGCGGGTAACTCGCCCTTACACCACTAAGCCTCCTCACATGTAATAAATGTGTTATTGATGTGGTATTATAATCCATCAAGACCATCACACATGATACTAAATCGTAGACGCAAACGACCTTCTGCGCGACCTAAGTCGCAGGACAGGACGTTCGCCATCAGGTCCCCTCACGTGTATTATCACATGTGATAAAGGTGTTTTCACGTTCTCACAAAATGGAGGTGTTCCCATTTGAACCCCACCTATAACCATAATATGATATATAAAATCATCAGACATTTTTAGCAACAACCTGTCTAATCCTGTCCTATCTAATACTTGTCGTACCAAACAACAAACAGACAACTTCTGTCGAGAATCATATATGCGTAAAAGACACTACCTTAACGAACTAAAAAATTTGTTCATCTCGAGTCAATCTCAAACACAGATAGAATGTGTTTCAACTTACTAAGTCAAATTTCATAACACCAATGTTTGAGTCTGGTTGCTCGAAATCTTGATTAAATTTTTTGAGTCGATTCAAGCCGAGCTAGGTCATTCGTGCATACACTTTTTTCAAACGAAACATTTTTATAATTTAATTAATTAAAATATAAAAATTATGGAACTCAAGCCGATAAATAAGTTGATCAATCTCGAATTCGAGCCTATAAATGAGCTTATAAAGCTTCAATTTTAGGTATAAACGTGTAACTCAAACTTGGTAAACGATCGTCAACGTCGAGCATTCTATTACTTTTTGAGCTAAAGTCGAACAAGTTGCTACTCGGCTCATTAACAGTTTAACACCCTGCTTCCTAAATCGTAGATGCCAGGATAAAATCACGAGTGATTTTACACGTGATTTTAACATATGTAATAAATTACATGGTTCTATTATCGCACAGATAAACAATTAATAAAAATATTATAATTTTATTCCAAAAAAATGCACTTTAGTTAATTTCCCTAAATTTATGAAGTAAAAGTTCAATTCGAAATGGGAGTTGAATTAAATTATTGTGGCAGGAAGGAACAAGTCGACAAGCCTGGCACCCTCTTGAACCATCTTCTTCTCCCTTCTTATAGCAACTGTTTCAACCTTCTCCACTCGAACTTACCAGAACTAGAACCCTATCTTTCCCATATTCTCACGCTTACTTTTCCCTTCTTTACTCTTCTTCCCCAATAAAATTGCTTTATAGGTCACTCGATTCACACTCCTTCCGCTACTCATGGCGACTACGCCCTCCTTCTCCGGTGTCCTCATCAACGTTCCATCCTCCACCTGCATCGATAGAACCGCATTGTTTGTTCAACCTTCTCTCTCTCTCAATTCCTTTTCTAAACCTAGGAGAACCACCTTACGCTCCTTGCAATTGAAGACCAGGAGTAATGATGTTTTATTGCTCACAAGGACGGGTGACAGGTTTGGTGGCAAGACCTCTCGTTCTTTTGTTGTTCGTTGTGATGCTTCATCCACCGGAAGGGTACAAATTTTGCTAAACCCTCTTGATTTATTGCTAGTGCCTTATTTACTTGTGATTTCCCTAGTTTTGTGCCTTGACCATTTGGCCGTGAAATTACAGTCACAATTCTGTTGTTTTTTATTTTTTTTATTCTGTTGATGATAAATTGGATTGTTTATATTTGATTGGATGCAACATAATTAGGGTTTTGAATGGGGGAATTCATTCATAAATTGTGATATTTCAAATCGGATGAAAACTAATTGATTTTATTACGTGCATCAATTTCTGTTGTTAACCATCTCGAAAATAGTTGTTAGACCTAGTTAGCAGGTCCTTCAACCTCCAACTAATCGCAGTAGCTAACTCTTCAAAAATTCAGGAACCCTCGTCCAAAAATTCAGCCAACTCTCCAAAAATTGCTGCTTGTACCAACCAATTATTGGGAGATACAAAAGATTATTTTTAACTATACTACCCATTACCAAATTGATTTTTTTTTTCTTTCTAGCGTTGGCTAAATTCACAGCAACTCATGACTTCCTAAAATATGAAATTTATTTTTAGCAGTAGATGCTGAATTTTTCATGTGGTGAGGATGGTTACAGTGGATCACAACTCATATCTTTGTGAGGCATGTAATTTCTAATTTACTAGTCCTAATGTTACAGAGAAATATGATATCTTTGAGAACTTAACAAACACATATATTTGCCAATGTTGCTAATGTTGAGTTTCTTGTTCATAAACTTGCAGTGTTTTTTTAATCAGTAACCTTTTTTAATGATATACTTATGTCTGGACAATGAATTGTCAGATTACCCAACAAGAATTCACAGAGATGGCATGGCAAGCTATAGTGTCTTCACCTGAAGTGGCTAAGGAGAACAAGCATCAGATTGTGGAGACTGAGCATTTGATGAAAGCCCTGCTGGAACAGAAAAATGGGCTAGCACGTAGAATATTCTCCAAGGCTGGTGTGGATAATACCCGCCTTCTTGAAGCCACTGATAAATACATTCAGCGCCAACCAAAGGTGATATATTGTTTTAAATATGATGGATAGATGCTTCTCTGTTAATTCCTTTTCCTGATACTTGTCGATTGTGTGACACTTATGGTAAGAACCTTTCTTTTAAAAGACAATCTTTTGAGCCATTAATCAGACAGAGTATTAGGGTAAAAATGATAGAAGTACCAGTTTCATCATGCCTTTCAACTGATTTCTTATTTGTTGAAATTGAAGGCGACTATGCTAGCTCTGTCTATTTTATGTCTCATAAACAGGTTCGCACTTTGAACACCAATTATGCAAACTGTTTCTAGCATCAACTGGTTCCAGTTTTTTCCCTAATTGCAAGTGGTGTTGGCATTCTTTTTTCCAGTCATATTGTAAAACCTCACATTTTATTTACTCTGTACTTCTGAAATTACCTTTGGTACCTTGGATCCTCATCTGATTACACTACGTTGTATTTATTGTACTATGGCAGGTTATTGGTGAGTCAGCTGGCTCCATGTTAGGGCGGGATTTGGAAGCCCTGATGCAGAGAGCTAGGGATTACAAGAAAGAGTATGGTGACTCATTTGTCTCTGTTGAGCATTTGGTGCTTGGTTATGTGCAAGATAACCGATTTGGGAAACAATTGTTTAAGGATTTCCAAATTTCGTTGAAAACCTTAAAGAATGCAATAGAATCCATCAGAGGGCGGCAAACAGTAATAGACCAAGGTAAATATGTATACGATGTATTCATGTTTATGATGATTGATAAAGATCCTGAAAACCCTCACTCTACCCCATCCCACAAATACATGGTAGATCATGTGTTTTCTTAGTAGGAATGTCCTAACACTGCCTCTAACTACATTTGTTCTCCATGTTCGTGTTTTTTACTATAATATTCCTTTTCATTGGCGTCATCCAAGTCTATGACTATATGTGTTTGCTGTTACATGTGTTGTGGAACATCCTCCTGTATATCTTGTGATGCTCTATAATAGATTTTAAACTGAATGGTGAAGTTTTAGATATATTTTTTGTTTCTTTGTTAATTTTTGCTTGGAGGCATGTTTTTTGGGAAGGCTTTTTGTAATCTACCAAGAATACAACCTAAGTGATCCTAATATGCTTTTTCTCGTCATATTTTGAATTAAGATCCTGAGGGGAAGTATGAATCATTAGAGAAGTATGGTAAAGATTTGACTGCTATGGCAAGGGAAGGGAAACTTGACCCTGTCATAGGAAGAGATGATGAAATACGAAGATGCATCCAGATCCTCTCCAGGAGAACTAAGAACAATCCGGTGCTCATTGGTGAACCAGGGGTTGGAAAGACTGCAATTTCTGAAGGGTAAGCTACAAAAGTAACGTATTTTGTATCCAGCTTATACATGTAATCTGCAATTGGCTTGTATTGTTTATAGTTTTAAGAAACTTCTAAAATGAAGTGATTTGAAGCCTTCGTAACCTAAAATTTCATTAACTGAAAATTTTCCACTCCTTCCTGCTGATTTAAATGTCACTTTTGCATGGGAGGGAGGTTGTCATCAATGTTGACGCTATAAATATAATTCACTCTACTGGTAATTGATCTGGCCAAAATTCCCTATTTGTCAGGCTTGCTCAGAGAATAGTGCAAGGTGATGTGCCTCAAGCTCTAATGAATCGAAAGGTGTGTAGTACTGTACTGTGGACTTCCCATTAATCACCTTTTTCCCTTTGTGTGTGCGACCATTGCCTTTGCCAATATGGCGTGCATTAACTGATTTCTTATTGGCATCACAGTTGATATCCCTTGATATGGGTGCGCTTATTGCTGGAGCAAAATATCGTGGAGAATTTGAAGACCGACTAAAGGCAGTGCTGAAGGAGGTTACAGATTCAGATGGGCAGATTGTTCTTTTCATTGATGAGATCCATACCGTTGTTGGGGCAGGTAGGGTCAATTTCAAGTGCATTATGCTTAGTTCTGAATTCCAATTATTTTCATCATGTCATCTCAAGCGTAAAAAGTGATTTCTTGTAGGGGCTACCAATGGTGCAATGGATGCTGGCAATCTCTTGAAGCCAATGCTTGGTCGTGGAGAGTTGCGATGCATTGGTGCAACAACATTGGACGAGTATCGTAAATATATTGAAAAGGATCCGGCATTGGAGCGCCGCTTTCAACAAGTTTATGTTGACCAGCCTACAGTAGAAGATACAGTTTCTATACTTCGTGGACTGCGTGAGAGGTATGAACTGCATCATGGAGTACGCATCTCAGATAGTGCACTTGTTGAAGCTGCAATTCTCTCGGATCGCTACATCAGTGGACGCTTTCTACCAGATAAAGGTAACACAATTACAATAAATCTAAAGATTAGCTGATCACCTCCTACATGTCTTTGTACATATGGGCTGATTACCACTTATTTCAGATGCTGCCTATTATGTCTAACTTTTAGCATCAAATCTCATATCGGGTCTGTGTATCTTGTCAATTGCAGCCATTGATCTGGTAGATGAAGCGGCGGCTAAACTAAAAATGGAGATCACTTCAAAACCTACTGCACTTGATGAGATCAATCGCTCGGTACTGAAATTGGAAATGGAGAGGCTGTCGCTCACTAGTGATACAGATAAAGCTTCAAAGGATCGGTTGAATCGCCTGGAGGCGGAGTTGGCTCTCTTGAAGGAGAGGCAAGCAGGGTTAAATGAACAATGGGAACATGAAAAGAGCGTCATGACAAATTTGCAATCTATTAAAGAAGAAGTAAGTCAACAGTTGATTATTATACTTTTACTCGGTCTTGTTGTAGTTGAAAGATAAGGAGGGCCGGTATAGCCCTTGATATAAAAGACCAATCTTTGACTATACTGAAACCAACTGCTCTATATGTGCAGATTGACAGGGTTAATCTGGAGATACAACAGGCGGAGCGAGAGTATGATCTTAACCGTGCAGCTGAGCTGAAGTATGGGAGTCTGAACTCCTTGCTACGTCAACTTGATACTGCTGAAAAAGAATTGGTCGAGTATATGAGCTCTGGGAAGTCCATGCTTAGGGAAGAAGTTACTGGTGATGACATTGCTGAGATTGTAAGCAAATGGACTGGCATTCCGCTTTCCAAACTGAAACAATCCGAGAGGGAGAAACTGTTGCACTTGGAGGAAGAACTACATAAACGAGTAGTGGGTCAGGATCCTGCGGTCACAGCTGTGGCCGAGGCTATCCAACGGTCCAGAGCTGGTCTGTCAGATCCTCACCGCCCAATAGCTAGTTTCATGTTCATGGGACCTACCGGAGTGGGAAAGACGGAGTTAGCAAAAGCGCTTGCTTCTTACTTGTTCAACACCGAGGAGGCCCTTGTACGGATTGACATGAGTGAATACATGGAAAAGCACGCTGTTTCTAGATTGATAGGCGCTCCTCCTGGATATGTAGGGTATGAGGAAGGAGGACAGTTGACAGAGACAGTACGCAGAAGGCCCTATGCTGTTATCCTGTTCGATGAGATTGAAAAGGCTCATGCTGATGTATTCAATGTGTTCCTCCAGATCTTGGATGATGGCAGGGTAACTGACTCACAAGGTCGAACCGTCAGCTTCACCAACACCGTCATCATCATGACCTCAAACGTTGGTTCACAGTACATACTAGACACTGATGACGACTCCATGCCAAAAGGGCAAGCTTATGAGACCATAAAGCAGAGAGTGATGGATGCAGCAAGGTCCGTCTTTCGTCCAGAGTTCATGAACCGGGTTGATGAGTACATAGTCTTCCAGCCTCTGGACCGCTCACAAATTAACAGAATAGTCTGGTTACAGGTAAGTTGCTCTTCAATTCTTCTAGTGTTTCAAGTTTTCGGAAATTGTTTTTTATTGATGGAATAATGTGGTTTGTTTCAGTTGGATCGGGTACAGAAGAGGATAGCAGATCGGAAGCTAAAGATTGTGGTAAGCGAAGCTGCAGTTGAGCTTCTAGGAAGTCTTGGGTACGACCCGAACTATGGTGCTAGACCAGTGAAGCGGGTGATCCAACAATATGTTGAAAACGAACTTGCAAAGGGAATCTTGAGAGGAGAGTTTAAGGACGAGGACACCATATCGATAGACACAGAAGTCACAGCATTCTCCAACGGTCAACTTCCCCAACAAAAGCTAGCCTTCAAGAGAGTCGACTCATCAACAGCTGATGCACCCGAGGGTCAAGAAACACTCTCACAAACTTACAGAGGTTAACATGATGTCCACATGTAGATGCATAAAATTATACTCCAGATGTTCGACAACCTCATAATAAATGCTTTATGCTATATTGAAATCAAATTACCTAAGCTATGCTACCGCTATTATCATCGTTGTCGCAAGTTTTTGACTCGATTCTCAACGACAAGACTAAATCAAATCAAAGTTTTAAGTGATCTTAGTGTTATCAATCAATATATATAGGATTTTTATATATATCACCCAAACCCAGATCTGTAAAAAACAATAGAGTAATGATGATCTTGTTCTGCTGCTAATTGATACATATACGGTAGAGCTAGCTTCTTGGTAAAAATTGCAGCATCATTGCTCGTGTCTTGTGATCGGCCGAAAGCCCAAGTTCGCGCATTTCCTGGTACAACTTCTTTGCCGACTCGGTCTTATCTCTCAGACAAAGACCCTGAACGGCAGCATTGTAAAGATGGGCATTTGGAGGAACCAGCTGCACATGAAAAATGAAAAACCTTCACATTCATATCACATAATCAACACCAATACGCAAGTGATTTTAACTAAACATCCAAACTTACCTTCAGGATCTCATGCATTTCCTCCCAAAGAGAACCCCAGACGCAACATCTTATCAATGACAACAGAGTTAAAGTATCTGGCGTTTGCTTTTGATGAACCATGTGTTGGTATACTTGCAATGCGACTTTCGGCTCGTTTCCAACCTCGCAAGCTCCAATCACCCGACAATATGACGTTACAGGGACCGACAATCCCAAATCTTCCATCTCCCATAGTATTTGCAAAGCTCTTTTCCAAGAACCGAGCCTCTTGCAGGCTGTTAATGCACTATTATACAAATGCAACCCAAGGGCAGATGGAGTTTCTTGTTGGACTCTATCAAAAAGCCGAAGCGCATCACCATATTGCTTTGCTCGACATAAAGCAACGAGCAGCGCATTCCATGTGTACGATGTAGGAACATGTCCTAAAGATCTCATGCAATCATAGACTTTAAAGGCAAGATTCACCTGACCGTTGTTCCCAAGCGAGTGAATCAACGCGTTGAATGTCGTAATGTTTGGATTCTCTTTTCTTTTCATCATGCCACGGAATACGTCCAACGCGAAATCCCATCTCCCGTCTTTCACAAATGCCACTATTGCAGCTTCCATGGTACGAGCATCTGGCTGCACCCTGTTTCTAACCATCTCGAGATACGCTTCGATCGCCAATCCGTATTGGCCAAACGCCAGAAATATGGTGACCAACAAGCGATAGGTAACCGAATTTCCAACGATACCATTCTCGTTCATCTTCCACCAAATCCGCTCGCTTTTGACCCAATCCTTTTCGTCACGACACAATGTTAGCATCATGTTGAACAAAACTTGATCGACTTTCTTCTTGTGATCATCATCGGCTACAAGCTCTTCAAACATTCCAAATGCTGCTTCAAAGCCTCTGGCTTTTGCAACTCCTTGTATGATCAAGTTGTAACTATGGCTGCTTGTTCGCCCACTTGATTTCATGGATTCAAAAACTTGCAAAGCATCATCAACCTCTTCTTTCCTCAACAAACAAGAGAGAAGAGCATTGAAGGCATGTGATTCAGGTCTCAAGCCCATGAAATCCATAGACGCATAAAGCTCCAGCGCGCTTCTAACCTTATCTGCCCTGCTCAGCTTCAAAAGGCGCCACGACAGATTCTTTTCATCCCTTTCCTCTAAGAACTGCAACCTGTTCTCAGAAACAATTGAAGGCTCACTAATATCGTCAACCACGTCTTCCTCTTCATCGTCCCACTTGGGATGTTCCTTAATAATCGATCCGTATGCGATTGAAACCTTGGGTACAGATTTGCCGAGTCTTTTACCTCTAGAATTGGCAGATGAGGGTGGTACTTTCGGTTTTGCCCTCCAACTGTTCGATTTAATGTCCGAACTTAAAATTTCAGAAAATCTTGAAATTTGCAAGCGTGTATGATAACATTCAGAAAACCCAAGAGCTGGTATATGAAATACAACGGAAGTTGTCAGAGATCCAGCCATAAATAAAACCCAACTTCCAAGCTTAGTAGCTTTCGCTTATTTACTCGCGAAGGTTGAGAATCCAAGCAAGAAGATAAACAGAATATAGATACAGATATATATATTCATATAATACAGACGCACCAAATGTTGCAAACGCCTCTGAAGGAAGCAGGGATTTGTAATTGAGAGTGGAGCCCGAGGTCCACGACCGTTTAGACGACAAGGCTTTGTAAGTTGTAACAAATGCCTATTTATTTTCATAAACATCTTCCCTTTTTTAATTATCCCAATAATGTACCATTTTTTATGCACAACTTACCAACCAATAAGCAATAGCCTTTTTTCTACGTATCAAAAGGTTCTGGGGCGCTCGTTTTCTGTAACCCTCTTTTTCGCTCTTTGGAAAATGGAAGAAAAAGAGGAGCTTGAAGAAATAGGTATGCTAAATTATCAGTTTTGGACGGTGATTGCGTTTCTATTCTTCTGGGTAATGATCGATTAGCTGAAATTGATATGAAAGAGAAAATCCTTGTATGATTTTACCTCTGTTTGATTGTAATATACAGAAAAAGTAGAAGATGGCGAAGAAGGTGTGTGGGAAGCAGAAGAAGTAGCAGTGGAGGGCGTGAAGGAGGACCGGTTGAAGATGGAAGGAATGGCATCAATAGCTTTGTTACCGAACGGGTCAATATCGGGTCATTTTGTTCATCTTCCCCATTCTGTTTGCTATGGCATCCATGGCACTGGTATTTCCGAATTACATCGATGCATTATCTCTTTTTGCAAATACTATTGAACGTGTTCTGTTGGTTTCCATTGAAGTGAATCTTTGGTTGGTTTTTGGTTTTGGTTGCTGATTACTTATGTTTCCAGAGAACACGGTCCATGTATGAACTTTGTCGATGAAGCTAACTCCAATTACAAAATCTGAGATGAATATAGAATCTAGTAACTAGACTAATGTATGCAAGTTCTTTAAATACCAAAGATGTCATATAGAAACTCACTTCAAATTTTGAGTTTGCCATGGGCTGATAGTTTTAGGAATCTATGGGTGTCTGGAGAAACTTAAAAGAAGGGGTTTTGGACAATTTAGTTCAGTATGACATAGGGAATATCCCTTTCCGTTGCACCATTTCTTTGTGAATGAAGTTGGATGGTTAGGGAGAGGAAGGGGAAGAACTAGCGAAATGGTTTACAAGGTGACCTACACCTGATTGCTGGCTATTGGAATTTGGAACCTGAATTGTATGAAATTTATGATTTAAAGATCAAAAATTGACTCTAGCATAGAACATATGGATTACAATTATTCGCTACAATTTAAGCAAGAGATTCCTGTTTACGCAAAGCCTTTTTTTATATAATTGATTCACTAGATGGTGTTATAGTGACGGTGTATTGTTTTTTTCTTCATTTGGGTAAGAACAGTGGTGCATGCATTTTAAATTCTTTGTATGGTTACATTCATATGTTAGACCTTTCTGCATTTTAAATTCTTCGCTTGGGTAAGAACATGCTGGGTGATCTCTGGCTCAATTGATCGCTATCCCAACTTCAGAGGGAGAACTGAGAATGGGCTTTTAAGCTTCATAGAGGTTTTTTCACCGTTAAATTGTGTATGCTATGTACATTGCGTTATGCTAATAAATGTATTACCCCAAAAACAGAGTTGGCATGTGAAAGGGAATGCAGCAGGGGTGAGGACTATTGCTTGGTCAAACTGACTATAATAGACTTCAATGTAAGTCTTCATGCTTTACATATTTGAGGTTTAGCTTTAAGAGTTGGTTCTAATGAGTTGTTACATGTTGCAGAGCAAGAAAGAACGAGATGTAGTAGTTGAACGAAGAGGTCATGATGCTGCACGGTTATGTAATGTTGATCATGCTCATGGGTATGCCTTCTCTTCCCTAAACTTCAAAATTCAAACCCCCATGATGTGGATTGACATGCTTCTTATGTTGTCAAGCCTGATTCACGCTTTGAGAATCTTATTAACAATTCACCTTGCAAACATTCAAACATCATGGATCTTTCCAATTTATTTGCTTTTTCTTACACTTCCATATGCCGTGATTCATTTATGTTCACATGATCTGTTTCTTCTCAGATGGGAGAAGGATGTTGTTAATTTGGTTGATGAGAAGCACAAGAAGAGCAAGATTGTAGTTTCTTTCAAGTGTGAAACGCTTAAAGCAGATGAAGCAGCAGAAGAACATCTTAGGCGGTTCATGCCTAAATTAACTGGCATGGATGCTGTTGGTAAGCATCAAGAAAAGAGCCCCTTTTAGCATCTTTTTAAACAGTAGATGACAAATGAATTTGCGTTTTTTGGTTGTTAATTAACACCTTAAATATGCAGTTAATATTGGGAAGATGAGTATCACAGGCTTGGACTTCAAAGCAGAAGTGGGAGTTACGGAGCCAAGCTCCTAAAATAATTCGTAGTTAGATGTTTGACACTTGGCAATCCTGCTGCTTTTGACCCGTGGCTTATATTCTTTAAGGATGGATCAAGCCTATCGGTGTTAACGAGTCAAGTCTGAGTAACTGATGTATTTGAGCTCGATTCGAGAAAATAATAACATGTTTGTGCTCAATTAATTTTCTCAAACTAGTTGAGAACCACAAAATGGTTGAGAACCGTTAGAACCATTAATGATGTAATGCATGTAAAAATACAATGGATCTTTCAACTGTATTTTCACATGCATTGTTTCACAACACATGATTGGTAGTTCTCAACCTTTTTGCGGTTATCATGTGGTTATTAAATACAAAAGCCCAAGCACACAACTATGTTGGAGGTTTGTTTTCATTAATTCATTCCTTTACCATTGCTCACAAAACATACAAAGCTCAAGCAGCCACATACCCTTTTAAGAAACCTATCCAACAGCACCAACCCCCCTAATCTAACCAAAATCACTCCTTCAATGAAGCTCTGGTTTCTGTCTTTTTTCTTCATCAGAGGAAGAAGTGTCATCTTGAAGAGATATGACTGTTTCAAATGCACCCACCAATGCCCCTACCTTTGTCTTCCTGTCCCCTGCAAGCTTACTCGCTGTTTCTTCGATTACGATATTGAACAACTCTTGAACATCTTTCTTTTCCACCTCTTGATGCTTCAGATTCACTTTTTCACCCTCCTCGCTTTCTTTTCTTTCTTCAATCTCTTTCTTTTTGAACGTTAGCCTTGCAATACCCTCTTCCCCATTCTTATCCACCACTCTTCCTCTCCTAAATTTCAGCCTCCTTGGGCCGTTTTCTTCAGACAACAGTTCAAGTACCTTTCCCCTTCTAAACTTTATATCGTCATCATCGTCTTCATCTTCACAAAATACCACCCTGTAACTTCTTCCTTTCTTCCCTTCTGAAGTTTCCACCGTATCATCATCATCTTCCAAGATGATACCTTCTTCATTGTTACCGTTTTCACACTCTTCTAAAATTATTTTCCCATAAGGAGATTGAACTTCTTTCTCATCAACGAGCTCAGAAGTAGATTCAGAGCTTAATAATACAGGTTCTTCCTCCATAAGATTGGTTGAATCTGTTGTTACAGTTGGAGGAGACTGAATGATTTCGACACTTGTAGGGACAAATTCCAACTTTCTAGTCTCAGGTTTGCCCTCTGATTCGGTCTCAGATTCATGCAACATCTTTTCCTGAACCTTCTCAGAAATCATCTGTTTTAGCTTGGTTCTTGTCATCCTATTTTGATCCTTTACAGGAGATGAAGCGCGTTTATGGTTTCTGTTTTTGCTTCCCTTCGAACTAACAGGAGGTCTTGGGGGCAACAATCCAGTCCGGGCCGCCTTAGAAGCTGTATTTTTTATGGTCTTGATGTCTTTTCTGTTGTTTTGACCATTTAATCCTGCTGAAGCATCAAGGGTAGATGAAGTAGGATGGCTTTTCGGCATTTTCAGTTCATTTCGAGTTGCCTTTCTGTGTTTTGAACCTTGAACGGGTTGAGCAGGATCACAGATATAAGGATCTGGAGAAGGTCTAGGCCTTGTTCTTGCTATTTTCTCTCTATCCACTAGAGCTACATGAGTCCTTGGAACTCCTTTATTCTTAACGAAATGCCTTTTTCTTGATCCCCGCCTTGCTGTAGGTCTTCTTGATTCCTCCAATTCGTGTATGCAGTCTTTACACCGATCATGACAAGAACCCATTGGAGGTCTGAGATAGCGAGAGAGGATACGACGTTCTTCTCCACTAGTCGTTTGAGAACTTGATATATAGTAGGTTCTGGTTTTGCCTCTAACACTTCTTGAAGCACCATCAACAGCAACCATCGATATAGATACAGATGTCCTCCTTGCATTTCTATCTTCTGGGGTTTCTTCAATTGGGATTGCCATTAATACAAGATCTAGAACAAGAAGAAAGCTTTAATTACAACCGTCTTCATGATTGAAAAAGTTCCAGTTTTGACACAAAAATGAACCTTGCATTTGTTCTTTAATCAATCCAACATCTTTCTTCATCTCTACCCCTTTATGAACACCAAACCGAGAATATGATACAAAAACAAAGAATGCACACAGTTTCCCGTTTTTGGAAAAAGGTGATTCATGTTTATCGGTGAAGAATCTACAGAAAACTGAGAAAAGGATGCCGATTAAATATATAGAGTCAAGTTTAGGGGGAAACCGTAAAAAAAAAATGAAAAACTGAGGAATGCTCCATTATCGTTCATCTGGATGATATGCACATGTACATATAAGTAATTTGTCCGGTCATATACGTGTATAAAAACCACGAAACAACTTCAATTACTTATATGCATATATACATACCGTCCAAATGAATGGATATCTGAGTATTTTTAAACGTTTTACGGTTTTCCCATGAACATATACACAACACAACAATACTTTCATCATCATAATCCACCTCTAAGGATCAAAAACAACCACCACCAACGTAACTACAAAAGACAGCTTATATGATCCCTATGATTCACATATGAAAGATGTAGAATTAAAAGCGAATACGGAACGTACCTTTCTATTACTTTAAGCTTTTTTTCTTAGATGAAGGAAAAAAGGGGGGTGTAACAGAAAGAAATTGATTGGAGCCCTGTCTGGATTCAGAACCCTAATTGGTGATGAGAGATCATATAAAGCAACCATCTTGGAAGAGGTTTGCGGGTTTGATGGCGAGAGAGATGGTAAAAAGAATGAATGTCAATTAATATTCCCAGTCCGACATATGTGCAATGGCAAGATGCTATTTTCTTGCATTGTGAAAGAAAAAACCCATAAAGCAAGGGATAACAAGAGACAAAAAGAGTTTGTGTATATACCATATTTTATAAATAGCAACTACACTATAATTCTCTCTTTCTTTTTTGGCATTTTTAGGGTCGTTTACGACCCGATACAGTCTTCTTTACTGCTCCAACCGAGACTAGAAACTGGTCGAGCGATGATAAAGTTTTCATGTCATCTGGTGGGAAGTAACTTGCAGCCTTTCCCATGATGGATGTGAAGAAAAGTTGAAGTGAAGGGCGAGTCACATAACGCTCGCCTAAAAGATCGTCAAGAAACGCAAAAGCTGCTAGAAAATCAGATCTGTTGGCGTTTACAGGAGCATTAAAGTGTGCTGGGATGATTCTCTTGAATTTCCAGTCTCTTGCAATGCTGTCAATCCAATCCCTCACCTGAAAAAGTCATAGGATTGGTTTCAAAACTCAAATTTCGCCGTAACAGTATAAGGTTTCATCTTCCTTTTTCACATCGAAATATTGAAATTTTTATACGTCTAATAATAATGGGTAAAAGGACATGCCTTTTCAGGAACTTTGCTGAAGACTAATGTTTTAACTATGGGTGAAACGATCAACTTCTGTGACATCTGAGAGAAACTAGCTTTTGGTTCCAAAAGATTTGATGGACCCAGAAACAAGATTTGAAGAACCATTCTCTCCCAACCTGTAACAGAAGGTCCAATAGATAGATGCATCAAATTGCAAGTAAAAGCTCCGAAAATTACATTCGTTTAACCAATAACAGACCTTTCTGCCTGTTTATCGCGTTATCAATGACCGGTTCTTGAGAGACTTCCTTCCCTTTGCTAAGAAGTTTTACAGCCAACCCGTTTTTAGCTGATGCCAACAATGAATCATTGCTTATACATTCAGGAGGCTGCCTCGGGACGAATATTACAGCATCAGTCACGAGTAGGGTCTTTGAACGCTTATGATAGAATGCCACCTCCACATACGGTCCAATTCCTGATTTTAATAAACCAACAACATATCTCAATCTCGAAAATGGACTAATGCTAAGGTTAAAAGGATTCGATATCAGGGTGAGTTTACAGTTTCTAACCAACTTCAGGAGAGCTCAGAACCTTTTGTTCGATCTCTGCAGCCCATGGGGTCGAAAGGTCTTCATTTTCTAAAGTTTTAGCACGAAAAATGCCGAAAAATTCAAGTGGTAAATTGAGAGGCCAACTCCATTGTCTTGGTGCCACCCATACCTGAGCTTGTGGGAACTTTCTAGAAAATGGACCAACAAATATTTTATGCTCATAAGCAAATGTAGGCAGGACAATGTACTCTACTGGAGCTCCTAACTCCTTCACAAGCTGGAAAGTTTCAAAAAAGATTACAAGTAAACACAAGATATGATCTGGGAATTAAAATCAAAATTCATACAAATAACTTCAAATTTCATAGGACCTGAACGCATTCCTTGGTTGGGGCAATTGGTGCATGGACCCATAATCCTCCTGATTTGAGCTTGATGACAGTCATCCTGGTGTTTGTTGAGACACTGCTGAAACCCAATGCCTGTTCTTGCTCGAACAGCCATATGCAGTCTTTTACAGCCTGAAACCAAGAAAAACAAGTTAACTGGTGTCAATTTTAAAGAAAATAAGCACACCCCAGATGCAATATTACATAATTTTGATACAAGAATGAAGGACAACAAAGAATTTACCTCAGTCCTGATAGTGCGCCTATTGAGAAAAGGGCCAAGAGGGAAAGGGAAACCAGTGAAATTGACATAAAGTCTACCACTCCCACCGCCGGCTGTGGCGGTGGTGGTGGTGGTTCCGGCAGAAGCAGAAACCACCAAACCAGGAAATTCCCTAGCTTTACTACCACCACCTGGTTTCAAGTTTAAAGAAAACCCCTCTAATGGAGACCCACTAAGAAACTTAAAATTGGGTTGTTTGAAAAGATCTAGGGTTTGAAGGGAAGTGGTTGATTTAGGAGAGAGAACGGATATGGCTGCCGCCATTTCTATTAATTTTTCAGAGATCGATGAAAAGCTAACCGGAATCAGAGTCAAGAAAAGAAAGGTTGCGAAAGGTAAGGAGTGGGATTCAAGGTAATGCTTCTTCCACGTGGAAGTCCATAAGGTGGAAATTAAAATAATTGAAAACAAATAGGCATTTCTTTGGTCAAAATAAAAAAAGAAGTCACAGCCACCATGGCCCACCATATTCAACCGTTGCCCATTGTTCCACCATGGCCCAACGGTCTCTTTATCCTCCCGTTTTACCTTATTCCACACAGACAAAAAACCCCATATAATCCAAAACTCAGCATTTTGATTCCCCACTTCGACCCTTAAAAGGGGTGTCTTCCTTCTCTATATTCACACAGACATCCCATCATTCAGAAGTCTAGTCTCTAGTCAATACCCATGGATCAACAGTCTCCAAAATGCCCATCAACACCCTCACAAGAAACACCCCCTCCAATTCACCCACTTCGGATGAATTCTCCTACTCCGGCCGGCAGCTCTGCTAAAATTGTCACCCCTGATCGTCTTATGGTCCCAAAAGCATTCAAATATCCTGAAATGTAAGTGATTCCTTCTGGGTAATAATTGAATCTTCCTTACCCTATTGCCAATTTAAAAAAGAAATCTTTCTTGGCAATAAAGTTTGAATTTTTATCTGTGGTTTTGTGTAGGTATAAAAGCCCAACTGATCAGATTATGTCCCCTGTTTCCAAAGGACTTCTTGCTAGAACCAAGTCTAAGAAGTCATCTGGCCTCTTACCACCCTCATCTACTAGAAATCAACAACACAAGGTACAACCTCATCATGCAATTTGTCATAAACTCATAACTCAAAAGTCAATCCCTTAATTCACATTTTTCTGAGTTTTCTTTCATTGATGGATCTTGTGACGCTTGCAGATTCAAGCTTCCAAGTTCCAAGATCCGGCTGCTATTATAACTTGATGGGTTTCATTTTAGGATGAAGAGGGTTTATAGAACTTGAAATCTTGTATTGTTTAAATGGGTTTGAAATCTTATTGTATTTGATTCGATCTTGAACCATTTCTAAAGGATATAAAGTTTATTGCTTTTGGTCTCTTATGTGCTGATCTTCTGGATGCATGCTTAATTGGATCGAATCGACAAACTTAGGTTATGAATTTGTTGGTGATTTAGTGAATCATAAGGCGGTTTGGTGGATTCACAAGGGGTTATTAGTTAAGCTATTATACCAGTTAAGGATTACGTAGTGGACACTTATATAAGCTAGCTAGAACTCGGGATCGTTGTATGTTGCCATATATACAAGGTCGACATATTACTAAGGAAAGTTATTTCCTACAGGATCCAGATTCTTGATCCAAGTTTATTATCATTGATTTCTCACGAGACTCAATTCCCCAATTCCCTAACTTAACCTGTTGTAGGTTCATTTATACGATTTCAGACCAAGTATAAAAGAAGATGGACACACCCATGAAAAGAAGTGATACAATACATTTTAAGAAGCTACACAATATGATTTGATTTGTCAAGGCAAATTTCTCGAATGACTTTCATTCCAACCTAACTTCATACCATTGGATCGAGCCAACATCCCCATCGATTTCAAGTTCACAAACCGACTTTACAAGGTGTGTAACAGCATCATCAATGGATTCAAATATCGCAAGATCAGGAGGCAGTGATGTAGCTGGCCAATTTTCTAGCCAACCCTTCAATCTGACTCTCAGTTCTTCCTCACTTACAAATTCTTCAGGCTTCCCTGGCTCCATTAGAACATATGTATCCGTCTCCATGTTTGATCTCCTTCTCCTTGTTGCATAAACCTGTTTACATGTTACAAAAATCACTTCTCATTTCGTAAGCATCACTTTATAGATTAAGAAATGGTAAAGAAGAAAACTGACCTTTGTTGCATTCCTGTAATGCCTTTCCAGGATAGTATGGTTTCTTGATGTTCTTTTTGCTGAATGGGACAGCCATATGCAGTCTTTTACATCCTGAAATCACAACGAACAACTTAACTAGTTTCAATTTTTAAAGAAAACAAATACACCCCAGATGCAATATTACATGATTTTGAAACAAGAATGAAAGATTTCCCTACAGAATTTACCGCAGTCTTGACATCACGTCTACCACCACCACTACCACCGTCGCAAGTGGTGGTGGCTCCGGCAGAACCGGAAACCACCAAACCGGAAAATTCCCTAGCTTTACTGCCACAACCTGGTCGCAAATTTAAAGAAAACTCTTCTAATGGGGACCCACTAAAGAACTTAAAATTGGGTTGTTTGAGAAGATCTAGGGTTTGAAGGGCAGTGGTTGATTTAGGTGAGAGAGCAGATATGGCTGCCGCCATTTCTATTAATTTTTCAGAGATTGATAAAGATAACCGGAATCTGAGACTTGAAGAATCAAAAAAAAAAGTTCGAAAGGTAAGGTGTGAGATTCAAGGTTATGCTTCTTCCACGTGGAGGTGGATTTTCCTACTTGGATTTTTTGTTTTTGTTTTTGTGTTGGAGGTAGTTAAATTTAGAGAAAAGGCCCCATTTTTATTAGTGGTGGTGGAGGTATCCAGCCGAGTCCGACCATGGCGGTGGTGGCTACGACCACGGTTGTCTCCACAAAAGTATGGTTTGTCAAGTGGTCGGGGTTCAGAAATTGGTCCAATGGTATTCAGGCTATAAGCAAATCATAGCTTATTAAAGATCAGGAGTTCAAGTCTCACAAAAAGATGTCATTTATAAAATATTATCTTCATACGAGAACACAAAACCACCACTTGCCAATGCCAAGAATCTGATCTATGATTTCGTGCCAAATATCCAACCAAAACTACTTGTTAAAAACCCATAATCATTGTTGTTTATTCTTTCAATTGAGCGAAGAACTCGAAGACTATTAGAGAATGAAGGTGAGTGTTTTGGAGTAAAATTCGCAAACCCACAAAATACGCAAAACACAGAGCTTGAAAAACAAACTAATTGTATAAATACGTCGGCTGGTAACTTGTATAATACATATTTTCCTCATCATTTGCCTTTTTCCTTTTAATGTTCCTGAGTTTTTCTTTTTTAAATTCAAGATTCTTCCTTGTCCAGCCATTCATCAACTGCAGTATCATCTGTAACACCACACCAGCAATCTTTATCTGCAACAACTTGATAAAAATGTCTACTTCAATAACAAAATTCACAGAAATTTTGGTTTTTCTGAAGGAAGAATCGAAGAAAACCAACAAACCTGCAAAGGATGTGACCCTGGACGTTGCTTCTCATAATATAACACACGCACATTTGTTCTGTTTCAGGTTACTCGTCACTTTCTTTTCTGGTAAATCACCAAAAATAGGAAGTTGCGTAGTGTTAGGACTTGGGACAAGAAGATAATCAAGAAAAAATTCTAAGATTTCTATTTCTGGAAAGGGATTAAAAAGAATTTGGTATTATCGATTTAGGTCAACAAGATTCTCTCATTTTGTCATCAACAAAAGGGTATTTTTTTTAAGCATCTAGCAAATATTCACAGCACTGTGCAGAATGTTGCAATCATGGCACACCTCCGACTTCCAAGGTGAGACATACAAGGTTCAAAATTACAGGTTCAAATTACAGCTTGATCGGCATTCTGTAAGAAACTCGCACCATTTTCCTAATATTTGCTATTCTAGAGTTAGAAATGGTATAGATCATACTGTATCTTTACGTAATACAGACGTAATAGAAAATCATTTTCAAGAATAAATTCAACGACACCATCTACAATATATGTTTTAACAATTTTAGACGTACCTCTTTCCTGGGGTGGCTGACTAACAACGACGTGCATGGTTGTGATTCCACCAGGGACATCACATAAAGCACTCCTGCATTCTCCTACCGTTCTGTTGTTCTCCAATATTTTCCCACCACTAATTATCTTTACATCTTTTACCGTCCGTGGAGCATTCTCCTTCTCTGTCACACCAACAAAAGTACAAATCTCCCATTCAATAACTACAGAATTCTTATTAATCAAAGTAGAATCTTTGCATATAAACTTCAAGAAAATTCGCCATGGATTTGCGAGGGTTGAAGAGGGTAGTCTTTACGATGATTTTGCTGGTGGACATGTGTGTTTGCACTGGAGGTTTTGGTGAAGTGGCAGTGGTGGCATTGGTGAATATAAATGCATACGAACAATAGCAATTTCTATGAAAAATTAGGGGGTTGGATAGTGAAGAACAATGGATAAAAGTTTCTTTCTCGTCCAACGATAATCAAGGCCTTTTTTATCCCAACAGTAATTCACAGAAAACACTCCAAAAATCACAAATATTCTCAAAAAGACGGAATAATTTGAGCAGAGTCATTCCGCCTCTTTGCCAACTGAACTACGAGGGCCAAAAAGACATAAGAATTGGCATATTTACTTGGACAAAAGAGAACATGTTCAAAGATCTATATTAACTAGCATGGTGAGAATCAACTGACCTTTAGGCCATTGAGAAAGGATGCTTTCTTTCAAGGTTGCAACACTTGCGGCTGCTGGAAAGCTCTTCGGACCAATATCGGATCCATCAATCAAACGAAATTTAATCTCCAGTGAATCTTGAACTCCAGACATCTTCCACTTTCTCTTGAACACAAATTCCCAATATCCAAACACCCAGGATTTTCAATTTAAAGATAAATTAGAGAAAACCCTAGAAGCCATACAGAGATGATCTTTTAATATTCATCAACCACCATCAATGGTGATCCCACTGTCCACTCTGAAAACTTCAATCGTCGAAATTAAATAGTCTCTTATTAGCTGATTCAAAGAAATACAACTGAACTCAGATGAATGATTTCAAGCATGAATCAATCAAATCTACTTACAGCTATTTAAGCACAAGAATCAAGATCCCTCTAGCTTTAAATAAACCAGATACCCACAATATTTTTTGATGATGGGTATTTCAAGAAAATTAAATATAAATAAGATCACACAAATTGATCCAAATAAAAGTCAACAACCACCAAAGAAACGTATCATCAACTCAAAATCTTCAAGTTGGTATCATTATAAATCAAGATTAACATTTCTTGATGATTGAAAGATTGAGGAAAACCCTTACTTGGTTCAAGAACTCATCTGGGTCGTCTCTCAGACTATTAAATTCGGTGAGTATACGATTGTAATCCACCAATTAAAGAATAGAAAATCTTGGTGCGATGGTTAATTAAATAAATACAAGTCAATCTGAAGAAAGGAAGGGGATAAAGCAGGAAAGAATAAAAATGGGGGAGTTTGGGAGTTATCGCAAGTCTTGGTAATGTGTGGCCAAATGTGCCGAACTTTCTTCAGCCTTTTCTCCTTCGAATACTCCTCCGAAGTCTATGGTTTAATCGACGTATTTTATTTTCCCCTTCTATAAATATATGCTCCCAGTATTCAAGATTTTGTTCTTACCTACTCTCATTTCTTGAGACCATTTATATAATATTTTAAAATATAAAAGCAATCGGAATGATGAGATTACAGATAATTTCAAAACATTTCAAGTTCCATCGATCATCCGTGTTGGTGTTAAGATTTTTTTATGTCCCGTGTAAAATTGCGAAAAAATATTATCTTTTTAAGAAAATGAAATGACAGAACGTATGATTTTCTAAAGGGTTCGAAATCTAGTCAAGCTAGACGGCTTATCTATGCGTCGATTTTTAATAATCATAATATTAAAAAAAACTGTAGGCGGTGACATAAAAACAAGCAATTGATGAAACTTTGATGTCCGTGCAAGGGTTGCACACAGCCAGGGTCGGGCTATTATAAGTTGTAACAGCACATTTAATAATTCAATTGAAAAGGATTCAAACTTGCCACTTGTAAGTTTAAAATTCAATAATTTCCTTCTTTTTTGTTGTTATCACCAAAAATTTAAAATTCAATTGAAGGGATTCAAACTTGCCTCTTGTAAGTTGTAATAGCACATTCAATAACATTGTTAATAGACTGTTTCCATTTTTTTTTTTTTTTTGTTGACTTAAATGTCATACATCAAATTTAAATGGATGCAGTTTTAAAACTCCTAAAAACTACTCATTATGTCGACACGATAGAGCGATAGTATAGAGACCCCTCAAGTGAAATCCACCGTATAGTGCCCCTATCAAAAGGCTCCAAAAGAAGGGGGAAAAGAATTTCATTCTTTCTCTAATGCCTTTGGTATAATCATTTTCTTGCTACTGTACTCTTCAACATATTGTTGCCAAGGTTCAAAATGGCATGAGGAATGACGTGACAACAACCTCAAGCATCAAGTCTTACACGTCACGATGAGGACATCTTTTAAGACGTGCTATAAGACGACAAATTTGTATGTCATATATAAAATTGTATATATATATACATATATGTTCTCTATTTATTATTCAATAATATAATGACATTTTGCATTCATATAAATTAACTAGTATTATATAAAATGTTTGTAAGGGTTTTAAAATAGAACTTGGAAAGATTTTAAAACTTAGTTTTAACCGTGCATCCATGACACGTGTGAATCCAAAAAACTGTGAGTGACATGATTAGGTAAATTTATAAAAATATAAAATATAAAGTTAGAAATGTAATAATACAAGTTTTAAACAAATAACTTTTTTAGAAAAAAAATCACATCATGTAAAATACGCATGCCATGGCGTGAACCACACTTTACACAAACGCTATGGACCTTATTGTAAGGGTAGAGACGTGTCACAGCCACTGATTGTTGTTGATTTTAAACATGGTTATAATTGCATTTGTATGGTAATTAAAAATAAGCGTGGTGTGCTTCGTCACCGAAGTTCCTGGACCACCACTGCCAACGAGTTATGCCGTAACTTGTGTTGGTAAGTCCTGCATTTGAACTTTAAATGTGTTTATTGTGTGTAAATTACAAGAATGCAGCAACAGTTACATATTAAAAAATTTACAAGAAAATTATCATTTAAATCTACTTTTTACAGCCAAAATACAAACCACCTTCAACGAAATAATTACCATTGTTTGCCATAACTTCTCATAAGAAAATAATAATAATAATTTAAAGGGTATGCGTGACTACGCACGGGAAGCCAGCAGCCACACACGTGCGATGTCTTAAGAACACCTATTATTTTCCAAAAATCAAACCGAATAAACTCGGTAAATCCCACCGAAGGTAGAATATGGGAGTAAAATGTACTCAGATCTTACCTCCACACGAGAAACAGCAACACGGGGAGAGGAGGGCAGATCCATGTTCTAGGGTGGTGGATGGTCCATATAAGAAAAGGACTAAAGTTTAGTAGGTGTCCTTTAAAGGTGAAAAAGACATGGCATGAGTGWSAGAGAGTATGTGTAGATTTCAAAACATGACAAGGATGARATCTTGGATCAAAAAGAATTTACTGCACATYATAAATGTTTCTCATGAATACAAATASTTGGCTCTAAGAATSAAATYCCTGTAACAAACCAATTCCAACCATCTACTGCCTAMAGATCAGACACAAGTATGTAATAAAATGCAACWRCYGAAAGAATCATATAATTTCTTAAGCTAATTAGGCTAAAGTTGAACCTTTAGAGGGTCTCCCTCCATCCCCTAGCTTTTCTTTTCTGGTGCATTCAGGCTTCCTACAAGCTACAGGTGATGACCGCATGATTCCTATGGGCTAAAATATAGGCAAGGCACCTTCCCCTTATGGGGAAGGCTGAAAATTGTCCAAATAAAGAAAGTGTTGTGTTACATACCCAAAGAATGAATCTTCTTACACTGGTGGCAGTGATGCATTACTTGGGAAAGCAGCAGCAGATAAGCCATTTGAAGAGTAGTAATCACCAATCTGGCTGATTTCTTGTTGATTCTATAGAAATGTATTGACTAAATTCTTTGATAACTTGAGCTTCTCATATGAGAGCCCTAAGCCTTGTCCCATCCTTTCGTTTATACACTTATAATACCCTGAGCATTTACGACTCCAAGATGTGGCAATTCTTGACAAATTCATTGGAGTAGTTGACATATTTCGACCAAAAAGGACGAAGATGCTCATAGCCTATCTGTAACCATGGTTTGGATTGCCCATTGTAATGTATTACAGCAGCCTTTTTTACACTCTCGATGCTTGTATTCTTCTGGTATCCCAAGCCCAGCATGTGCCATGAAGGGTCAATAGGTTGAATATGTCCCCTAAATGCAATCAAGGCTGGTGGTAGAGTTCCAAGCTTCCATAATGTCAAATTCGACCTCAAATTCTGCAAGAAATAAATCCCAGATCTTTAGAACTGCAACCATAGTATGTTTTGTGAAGCCTCTAAATATGTCACATGGCTTTCTCCTGAAGTGACTGTCATTAACCTTGACAACAGAATGAAAATACCCCAAAGCTCAGGGGCTAAACTGTCTGTTCTTACTACAAACGCATCTTAAGATATGAGCTTGAAGTAATGAGTAGAAATTTTATCATCATACCCCATAAATTCAGGGTGTGAACATTTTCTCAACCAGTAGAAATTGACCAATTTCCAGAAACTCCAAGTACACAACCAGCATTTGTGTGACTCAATTGGAATATATATCCCTATATGTGTTTGCAGATGATAGACAAAAAGACGTCACGAATATCTATGTGAGTTTCAGTATCATGCAAATATGGATATAAATATGCTGAATGAGACTCTATACATACCAGGAAACTTATTTCTTCAACACCATAGACACATGAATATATGTTGTGTGAACAGGGAAAAGAAAGAAATGATGCTATCTTGTGGCTTTACCTCTTTTAGCCATGCATGATATGTTTCTCTTATGTTGGTCTTTCTCCATGCACGCAAGTCAAAGATGTTCATCCCATATGCCCAAGCACACTCCTCTGGGTCCAAACTTTTTGCTACCAGTGGGTGAGAAAAGTTGAAGTAGTTTCTGAACCGCTTAGACATTACCCATGAATCTTCACCTTTGCAAGTTTCAACTGCTCCATTAACATTTCCACCGAGGTCAATTTCCCAAAGTGGGGACAAATCCCGTTGAATTACAATGTCGTCGTCTAAGAAAACCACTTTGTCAAGGTTCGGGAAAAGCTGCGTAAAAAAGCATTAAAACATCAGCAATGCACCTGCGAAATGACCAGAAAGGAAAAAAGCATTGAAAACAGTTGATTGAAGAAAGTTTCAGCTGTTAATAGAAGAAAGTTACAACATTAGAGCATTAAATTGACCCAGATACATAGCGCATATACCATAATATCAAAGGTTCTGAACTATTAGTATTTATTTGAAAATTATTTCGACAAGCAAAATGGTACCCCACAAAAATGGAATAGTACTCGTCTTAAAATCCAGAAAATCGTTTTTAACTTATTCAGGTCTAAGGAAGCATTAAGTAGGCATATCTTATTTTCTTTGTAATCTAATATGTGCCTTGTAAAGCATCTATTTAACAGTCTCCCCTGTAGCCTGCTTGCTTGTTTCTTTTACTTCAGGTTTTTCAAGTCGGGGCGTCGGGGGTCTTCACGGAAATAATATTTCTACCCAAGGCAATGTTTGTGTACATCCCCCCCCCCCCGGTCAGACCTTAACTTTGCGTGGGATTTACAAGTTAGTTTGGGTCCGGTTTATATGGAAAAAAATAACTATCAATCTAGATCTGCTACTCCGGCTTATAGCTAGGGCAACCACTATTTCTTTTCATGCATGCATTGTGGGGTTTAGACCCCCATCCCTATACTCAAAGAAAAGAAACATGTGCAATCCACTTCCGTTTACCTCTGGCAGATATATACGAAGATGATTGAGCAATGATATGTACTTGGGGCTTCTAGCCTGCAATTTGGAGGCAAATGATCTAGGAGTAGTATCATCAAGATTAGCCCCTGATATATGATTTCCATGGTAGTAATTTCGAATTACATTATGATTTTCCACAGCTTCAAGAACTGGAACATTGTCTCGCGTCAACCAATCAAACTGATGAACACCTTTTACTTCAACAATGGCAGGGGAGATGGTATTTAAGGCAAACCATGAGTGCATGCCTGCATAAGTTTTCTTATCAGTTATCACATGGAAGACGATCTTCTCAGGAGTTAGAGATGACTGGACGGCAGAAGTGACTACAACCGCAGCTGCCAGGATATTATCAGTTGGCAGGATAAAATGATAATAGGAATTATCAGAAAGAACTGGAAGAAATTCTGGTGATGGCAACTGCCGCCGTGCATGAGCATTAGACGAGTACTCATCGGTCAACCTCAAAGAGAGGCAATGGATGCCTTTTGGAACCGAACTTGCTGCAAAGTGTTTGTTCATTAGTTCTTGGAATTTAGATTCTCTAATCTCCCTCTCAGATCTCTCCATCTGTAAATTTCATTAAGAAAAAGCTTAGCTCCATAAGATACAATAGCACTGTACATCCATAACATAATTGAGTATGAAAACAGAGTAAATATTCTCAAAACTTACAGTCCTATGACATGTCAGCACATTGAGAGGCGAGCACCGATTTTGTGTGCATATGCAAAAGTTGTGGCAAAGAAAAACCAAATGTTTCGCTCGCAAATGTCTACAAACTGAATAAATAATATTCCATCACACGCTACCCTTTATTGGACACCATTCAATGTTATCATGCCAATGGCCATTTGGCACTGGCGACTTCTACTAATATAGAGAGGTTAAGAGATTGATTCTCATAGACAGCACCTACCAACAATAATTCCCCCCCTTCGGNCCCCCAAAAAAATAATAATAATAATAATCCAGGCCTCTCCCCCATAGAGATTCAGCAACGTTGCACAAGAATACTAGGATAGGGCATTAAAAGATAAATACTAAAAAAAGACAATGATAGCATCAGATTTATATATCATTGGGGTTCCTATATTAGACAATTTACAATTCCACCCAATACATGAGCACATAGAAGCACAAAAGTGCAGAGATACATTTGCTCTTCCCGGAGTATCTGACAAATATCCTCAATTAGAAGAAACTATATACCATTAGTTCGTCACAGAAAGGGAGGCCTTAAAAATATATTCATTGATATTGTCTAGAAAATGGTGTATAATATTTAACAAGGTTTGGAAGACCCAATTTACCAAGAGTCCTGTTCCCTAACAAGCACTTCAAGAGGACAACTCATCATTCACAAAAGTCTACCTTAACCAGCAACAGTTTTTAATTGAAGATTATCTGACTAAGAAACGATTTAGGACGTCTAAGAATCAAGATAAAAAAAAAAATACAAGGGATCCAATTAAATCTAGAATGGCAGACTTCAAGCCAATAATCCTAACATACAAGAATCAATTCAAGATAGGCTATTTTGATTCTTCTTAGGGTTTAAACCATAAGTTAGGGGACAACAGAAATGAAAAGGACAAAAGAGAAAAGGGCAGGAGAAAGAAACAAATGACACAGATTCCAGAGTCCAACATTTTAAGGAGTTCGATAGTATGTTGTGGTAACAATTAATAAGACAAGAATATTATATATGTTGATGAAAGGAATCGCTGATCCATGTAAATATTATTTTGAATACAGCTACGGACAAGAAAACCTCTCCCTCTGTTAATGTGTCACACAATCCTAAAAGGTCTTAAAATTAAGGAGATACTCTTGAACAGAATATCAAAAACCATTTGTATTTTCTTCTGTCAACAGCACACTAGATTAAGGATTATTTCCAAAAAGATAAAGATCTCATCCTGTTTCACAGTATATTAGCATATGAGAGGAAAAGAAGAGCTGAAATTCTTAATTATAAGATCATCTCTACAGGCCCCTATTTATAGTTGTATCCATGTTCATCTCAACAGGCGCATAGCATAATTCTCTTCATCTCAACAGACACATAATTGACCACCTCTAATTCTGTTACAAATACGTAAAGCCTTTATATGCTAATACAGTAGTCAGCATTGAAAGTGCAAAGTATAGTTCAGAGAGAAGAACTACAAAAAATGCATCCAGTCAGGAAACAACAGTGATTCATTCCCCTTGCTCCATAAAGGATGGGTAACACAAGTCAAAAAAATGTGTACAACACAAAGATAGTGAGCAGACATACCATTTGTTTCAATATGATAGCAAAATCGTTGGCAGTGTACTTGTTGCTTTTCATGTATGAGACAAGCTGTGTAAAGTTATCAGGGATCTTTAAGCCAACTGGCACTTCTTCTGTGTTCACTTGATTAAGAATATTGTAGACGTCTTTAACAAGCCTCTGCTTCCACCAAAACACAATAGCTAAGTTTCTAAACACGGTAAGCCTCTAACACGACTAAATAATGAACTGTGCATGCACGTAGAGCTTGAACCGAATGTATAAAATTAAAAACCGAAAGAAACAATGGAGTGGTAATTTTACCTCTGAATCATCACCCCTTCCGAGAAGCTTTGGACCCAAACGCCTGCCCAAACAATCTGAAGCATAGAAATATCAATTAATGAACAGCTGTCTGCCATATGCAATATTTACCAAAGGGATCCGGTAACCCAACCTTTCTAGAGGTAAAGGGTTCCAACCTCACCAAAGGGGAAGCGTGTGTGTGAGTTTCATTTGCCGTATATAAATATTATATACTTACAAAAAACCTCTAGAGGCAGGTAATGTCAATAAAAGGTATAAGCCAAACGAAGCAACCAAAAGAGGCGAAGAATCACAAACATATAGAAGTAGGATAGTACATACAAGGAGTTAATATTCATCAACCAAAGGATACACAAAGACCATAAAACATGTGAGACACAAAAAAATACCTCCATATGCTTTGTAGAAGGAGAATAGTAGATGACCAGGGACAAAAAAATAACTCTAACAAAAACAAGATTTCATAATGGAATCTGAACAAAGCTCTATGCAACCTACACAACATATTACATGTCGTTGCAGTCTAGCTGTAAAGAAGACTTTGCAGTGTTGGTAAAAGTAAAAGAAAGTTTATAGCATAAGCAACCATGTAGACCATGTTCATCAACCAATCTCTCCATACATTTCAAAATACAGACTGGCAAAGCAGAGAACTGAGAAGATGTATGCTGAAAATTTTTGAAGATGAGAACTGAAAGCTGAAATAGTGTTTTGGGTATTAAAGAGGATCAGTCACTGGAGATTCAAACTACAATAAGTCAGGGACCAAGCCTCGATTATAATCTTACCTAGATGATGATCCTATAAAAAACCTCAAGCATACATCAAAAGCAAGATGCAACTAAGGATAAGCTTGTATTATGTCTGGAAATTACTACATATTACTAATTATGATACTAAGAACTGAGATTCTATATATTCAGTTAGAAAGATCAGGAGGCAAATCAAATTGATGGCTACACCAAGCAACCAAAATAAGAAATGACGATCCACCCAAGTCAACTTTCAAAAAGAATCCAAATTATACCCAAAGCCACTCTTCTTACAAAAACTTGATGATGCCAAAACAATCAAATCAAGATCTAGAAACACCAAGGTGTTCAATCATAGTTTTACATTGGCGTTGATGAAATCAAGAAAGAATAACAACCATATCAAGATCTATAATGCAATCCCAATTTCGCATTAAGCACATATATACGTATGAGTAACAATTACATGACAGCGGCAAGAGAAAGTAGATCAAGAAATGATTGATTAAAGAAAAGAAAGAAAAAAAAAAAGCAGTGGTGTACCAAATGAGGAGCACTTGTTGACACCTTCTAGGGTAACAAGAGCGGTGAGGATGAATACAAAAGGTAGCAAGAAAGCAAGGATGAGGATGGTATGGAAAAGAGTTCGGTAAGAAATGTGACGAGCTGCGACCTTGATCTTCATCAAGTCAATAAACCCATTGCTGCTCGATATCGTTACACTTCTCATGCTAGGTGAGAAGTGTAGCTGCATAATGATCCCCTAATTTGTCGTCAAACATAAGAGAACCCTAGCACCACCGACGACGAATCCCGTGAAATTAAATCTATGTGTGACGCATACAAAAACCTCTGGGGCAACCTTCTCATGACAACCAGATCCACCAAGATTGATGACCCTCTCTCTGATAACCAGCGATAATTCAATCACTTTGTTCTGACACCAATGCATGAAATTAAATTGATTCCCATCCAACAAAATCGCAAAATTAGGGTTTTAAAAACCAGGGAAAATATCTATAACAGTCTTGAATCAGAGCGCGTATCCTTCTTGTTTGATGACGATTAACTGGACTGGATTGTTCTTCCTTTTTATCAAAAAGAGCGAATGTAGAGAGCGAGAGGGAGATGGGATTTATACCATGCTTTGCTTTGCTTTGCTTTTGCTTTGCTTCGCTTCGCTTCCTCAAACAAAAAATGTTCTCTCTTCGTCAAACGGTCCGATCCAAATATCAAAAAATTAAATCACAATCATTAATTTTTTGGTCAAAAGCGTGTTCAGGCCGGAGACCTTAAATAAAATAAAAATAACTAAAATTTCATTTTTTATTTACTAGAAAGATAATTATGCAATACAAAAAGATATATCTCGATTTTAATGTTTCGTTTTATTTTTTTGGTCTATGTCGATATTAGGGCTGTAAACAAACACGAGCAGAGGCTTGTTCATGTTCATTCGTTTAGTTTAACCGAACCAACAAACGAACACGAACGGTAAAGTACGAAAATAATTGTGTTCGTGTTCGTTCGTTTAGAAATCAGGTGTGTTCGTGTTCGTTTATGTTCGTGCGTTAACATGCTAAACAAACGTAAACGAACATAAACAAACGAACACAAATACTTATCATTCAATTAACTATTGCACATCAATTATCCATAGTTTAAACATACACAAAACAATCACCATTCATCAACCGTCATTAATATACCAATACTTAAAAGGTTTTTCAAAATTTGAATTCAAACTAAATAAATAAAAGTTATATATTAAAATTAATATATAAACGAACATAAATGAATGAACCTTCACGAACATAAATGAACGAACGAGACTCTTGTTCATGTTCGTTCATTTAATTAAACAAACAAAAAAATTTGTTCATGTTCGTTCATTTATTAAATAAACGAACTTTTCGCTGAACGGTTCACGAATGGTTCGCTGAACGTTCGGTTCATTTACAGCCCTAGTCGATATTATAATATGGATCTATAAGGTTTTGAGTAAACAATAATGTTTTTTTTAAATATAAATTTAAAAATATCATAAAAGTTAAAAAATACATAAAAGTTATCATTTTTTGTGTAATTTTCTTTAATTCAATTTTTTTATTATAATTTGATTTAGATTTAATRAYGAAGTAATTTGTTTTTAGTTTAATAATATAATTTTTATAAAGATAATAACTAAGTATTMTGTTAWAACTYAATAATTATCTTAATTATATTTTAGATATATTTAAAATAATAATTTTATTATGTATTTGATTATATTTATCTATAGTTAGCTACACAAATTCAAATATGAAGTTTAATAAGTTGTATTTATGAATAATTTACTTGTAATCTTGAATTTTAAGTAATATGCATCAATAAAGCAGTATTCATGTATAAAAAATGGTTTTCAAGAGTTTCTATCAAATGGTTTATAATATAGTATAGATAAAAAAACATTGGAATCTTTTTTAAGATTTGGATATGAAAACGAAAGTCTCAATTTTGGGTTTCGGGTTTTGGATTGTTTTAAGTTGGATCAGTCGGGTTCGGATATAATTAATACCTATAAATTATATATTCATTTGGTTGTGTAGATGAATTTAGTTGATTAGTAGGATTCAGTAGGATTCATGAAATCGATATTATGTTTACGAATTAGAAAACGGTCGATTATGATTTTTAGAAATTTTCAAAGATAAATAAATAAATATATTTATATAGTTTTTTTTTATGACATTATGTATATGGAATGATACGAACAAGAATGTTTCTGTTTTACGATAATACTTCTAAGCCTGCAAATTAACTAACACATAATAAACTAGTATTTATCCATAATTTCCTGATGCCCTAGATTTATCCTTATTTCTTTGATTTTGTTATTATCATTGGAGAGTTTTTATGTTGATGCATCCGTTGTGAATAATGATAGGATATTAACGTGATAATGATTTGATTTTGTCGTGATAATGATTCGTAAATTGAAAACTTTTTAGGATGTGATTTTGATGTAATAAACATCTAATACCTATTTGATTTTTGTTGTTATGGTGATGTAATAATCAAAAACCAGTGATTGATGTCAGTTTATTATGTGATTTTGTTGTAACAATAATGTGATAATTAGATAAGGGCATCACCACAATTTACAGATAAATACAAAATCACATTATCATCCTTAATTGATTCTTTCATTTTCTTTTAATTCTAATTATGGGTTAAATAATTTGGAGGTCCATAAATGTTCTCGAATTCTTGTAAAACAAGATATTCTTGTTTGAACCCCCACATGGCGCCACACACACACACACACACACACACACACACATATATATATATATATATATATAGAGAGAGAGAGAGAGGTTGATTATTATACAACTCTTTACATTTGTACAACCAATACAATCCAATCTCAACCGTCCATTTAATTTGATGAATATGTAATTTCATAAAAGTTTTGATTGTTTCCTAATATAAAATATTGATCATAATTAATGAACCATATTTATCTTCCATAAATATTCAAATCATAATAAATAAACTCTCATCATTTCTATAAATATCTCAATTAATTGGGTTGTATTGGTTGTACAAATATGATGGGTTGCATTTGAAACAAACTATATATATATATATATATATATATATACATACTAGAAAGATACTCGTGCAATGCATCGAGACATATCTCGATTCCAATGTTTCATTTTATTCTTTATCTATGTTGATATAATACGGTTTTATGTGATTTTGAGAAAACAATAACGTTTTTATCTTTAAATAAAATATCATAAAAAATTGAAAAAATATATATCGATATTAGTATCAAATTAACTATATAAAAGTTTTAGTTTTATGTATTTTTGTAATTCAAAATTTTTATTATAAATTAATTTAACGTGACGAAATAACTTAATTTGGGTTTAATAATATAATTTTTAATAAAGATAACAATTAAGTATTTTGTTAGAACTCAATGATTATCCTAATTATATTTTAGATTTTTTATATTTAAAATGAGATATTTATTATGTATTTGATTATATTTATCTGCAGCTAGTTACACAAATTTAAACATTGAGTTTTAATAAATTGTACTTGTGCATAATTTACTTGTAATCTTGAATTTAAGTAATATACGTCAATATACAGTATTTTATGCATAACAAAAGTACATAGATATTCGTATCAAATTAACTATTTAAAATTCCTTATTTTTTGTGTAATTTTTTAATTCAAATTTTTTATTATAATTTAATTTATGTACAATAACGAAGTAATTTATATTTGGTTTAATAATATGATTTATACTATATTATAAAGCATTTGACAAAAACTCTTAAAAACAATTTTTTATACGCAAAATACTGTTTATTGATGCAGATTAATTAAAATTTAAGATTACAAGTAGATTGTGCATAAGTACAACTTATTAAAGTTCCATACTTGAATTCGTCCAACTAACTGCACATAAACATAATTATTGGATAAACATCTTATTTTAAATATAAAAAATCTAAAATATAATTAGGTTAATCATTGATAACTAACAAAATACTTAGTTATTATGTTATTATCTTTATAAAAATCTATAGTATATTATAAAACATTTGACAAAAACTCTTAAAAACGTTTTTTTTTTATGTACGAAGTACTGTTTATTGATGCATATTATTTAAAATTTAAGATTACAAATAAATTATGCATAAGTACAATTTATTAAAGTTTCATACTTGAATTCGTTTAACTAACTACTGCAGATGAACATGATCAAATACCGGATAAACATTTCATTTTAAATATAAAAAATCTAAAATATAATTAGGATAACCATTGATAACTAACATAATACTTAGTTATTATCTTGATTATATAATTTTTTATAAAGATAATAACTACGTATTTTGTTAGTTATCAATGATTATCCTAATTATATTTTAGATTTTTTATATTTAAGATGAAATGTTTATCCAATATTTGATTATGTTTATCTACAGTTAGTTAAACGAATTGAAGTATGAAGCTTTAATAAGTTGTACTTATGCACAATTTACTTGTAATCTTAAATTTTAAGTAATATGCATCAATAAACAGTATTTCGTTATATATATATATATGTATGTATGTATGTATGTATGTGTGTGTGTGTTTTGATTTTTCGGAAGGTTCGGGTGGCCAAAAATCATAACCAACTCGAACCCAAACATCCCTCCAAAAATCAGGCTACATATTTTCGGATTTCTAAACATTCAGGGTTTAAACAAACACCTTATTTCGTATGGATTTAGTTCAGGATTTTAGACCATTTGGGATTAGGGATTAGATATTTTCTCTATCAAACACGTTTTAAAACTATGAGTCTAGGTATAAATAAAACGAATAATATATAGTATGATTGGTCGGAGATGTTACATAAACAAACTTTCGTATATGCAGAATAAGCCCTCTATAAGTTTTCGTGTTAATATGTTAAATTTAAAACATTGTTTCCATATTTTTGATCAGAAGACAATTTTTTAATAACATTAAAATTGTAGTTTATATGTAACTAAATATCGATGATTTTGTAATTACCATAATATAATTTTTTTTGTTTTTTTATTAACCTGGATATCTAACCCGTTATATGCAGGGGCGGACCGCCTAAGGGGCCTATAGGGGCCCTGGCCCCTGTGATTTTTTTCCCATTTAGCATACAACAGTGTAATCCATTACCTTCTAGATTCAAAAAATTTCAACCGGCCTCCCCCTTCCAAATCCAATCCCAARMGGCGAGCGAGAGCGACTACCCACTGCAGACTGCAGCCTGTGTGAGGACGAGGAGGGCGACCATCGTTAGCGTAGACGGGCTGACGGGCACCACTACGGCAGGCGTAGACGGAGG